CCCCAGTAAGATTAGCCCATATCACAAAATCCCAAAACCAGAGATGTTGGCGTGGATGTGGAGAAAAGGGAACACTTCTACGCTGCTGGTGGGAATGTAAATTAATTCATTCCTTTTGGAAAGACAACTGGAGAACACTGAGAGAACTAAAAATAGACCTGCCATTTGACCCTGCAATTCCTTTATTAGGTATATATCCAGAAAACCAAAAATCAAATTACAACAAAAATATTTGTATCAGAATGTTTACTGCAGCCCAATTCATAATTGCTAGGTCATGGAAGAAGCCCAAATGCCCATCAACCCACGAATGGATCAATAAATTGTAGTACATGTACACCATGGAATACTATGCAGCCCTAAAGAAAGATGGAGACTTTACCCCCTTCATGTTTATATGGATGGAATTAGAAAATGTTCTTCTTAGCAAAGTATCTCAAGAATGTAAGGAAAAGTATCCAATGTACACAGCCCTACTTTGCAACTAATTCATAGCTTTTATAGGAATGTCATAACCTAATTATAGCCTTAGATTATGGGAAGGGGGTGGGAGAGGGAGGTGAGAGGGGTGGATGCGGGGAGGGAGGGTGATTGGTGGGGTCACCTCTATGGTTTATCTTACAAGGGTACAAGTGAATCTTTCTAAAAGCAGAGTATGAACATTTTAACTCAATAACTAAGAAAATGACATGAAGATTATGTTAACCAGTTTGATGAGAGTATTTCAAAATGTATATGAAAACAGCACACTGTACCCCATGATTGCATTAATGTACACAGTTATGCTATAAGAAATTTTTTAAAAATATTTTTTTAAAGATGAGAAAAGAAGTTGGTGACAGGTTTAAAATGTCTGTGTTTCTCAAAAAAGGATGAAAGACTGAAGAAATACTATTCTACATAATTATAGTGGGGAAAAAATCTCTTCTGACCAACAAAGGAAGTAAATTTCAGTCTTTCCACCACAACTGCGGAGTTCACCCCAAAGCACACAATGTACCCAGGCCTCCAGAACATTCCCTGCTAGACTCAAAAATACAGCACATATTCATAGAGTTCTAAATTGGCACAGGGTGACAGCCTGATGCAAAATTAATATTCTGCTCTCATTTTTGTCAAGGCACATTTGCCCTTTTGAGGAAGGCTACTTCCCAATACATCCTACTGAAAACCTACCTCAGAAACACTGTTTTCCAGGGACATTCCAGGGAAAGCCCAATCTGACAATCTTACAGAAATTATAACCATAGGGATTAACATGGTGGACCACCTTTCTGTGCCTCTGATAACTGATACTCTTTAACATTTACAAGGACAAACTGCTATATTAATGCCTAAGTGGCATTATGCTGTTTCATATCACTAATACTTGATAAAACTGTTTCATTAGCTTATATTAAAGATGGTCAGAGCTTCTTAGAAACAAAGAGTGAAAAATATCAGATTTCGGAGTTTAAAATGCAGAAGCTTCCTGAGCATATCTGATATGTCAGAGGCAGGAAGGTAAAGAATCCTAGTAATATCTCAGTTTGTGGTTCCATAACTGATAGCGGTACTGCTATGTTACTTGTATTAGGTAATTTAATTCCAAGTCAATTTCGTGTCTGCAAAGAAATCCAACATCACTTCATAGCCAAGAGCCAGAAAGATCTGGGAGGATAAAATATTTTAACCCAAGTGTGTGACACGATGTAACTTTTTATTAAATAAAAATGGCTGGATCCTGGCCTCAGATCCTGGCCTCACCTCTGTCTGCACCATTAACGGCCTGTGCATTCGAAGGTCATACACAATCCCATACACATCCACAGTGTTCTCATTCTCTATCTGGTAGATAAGACGATCAATGGCAATGAAAGTGCCGGTCCTTCCAACTCCAGCACTGAAAGAAAAGGGAAATAAAATAAGCAGGTTGCAGGGGGTCACCTCTCCCAAGAGCCTCTCCGACTACCCCAGGCGTGCAGGCATCTTGCTCTCCTTCACTGTCATGCTTTGAGAGCAACGCCCAGAATCAACAAACGTTCGCTCCATTGAAACCTCAGCAGATTACACAGCACTAGCTTGGGACTTGTGCCCAAGTCCCTAACTTATTTTTGAGTTAAACACCACAACTAAAACACCTTGCTAAAGCTTCTTAAACCTCAATCCCATAACCTAGGATGGCAAGTTTCATCAATTCATTTCCCACTGGGCAACAAAGCCTCACCCTTCTTCTGTCCTCAATTAAATCCTCTAGCTTCAGAGCTAACTTACTGTCCTAGAGTAGGGGTTGGCAAACTTTCTGTTAAGGGCCAGAGAGTAAATATCTTCAGCTTTGCATACCAGAGGGTCTCCTGGTGCCACTGCAGCAGAAAAACAACCATAAACAATGTGTAAAAAATGGGCCTGGCTGTATTCTAATAAAATTTTATTTACAAAAACAGGAAAATCACCAGATGTGGCTCACAGGCTATCTTTGCCAACCCCTGTTCTACAGTCTCGGAATTTAGGGAGCAAGTCCAGAGTCCCTTATCTGAACCTTTCTCCAATTTCTAAATGGCCTGTGGCATTCTTACACTTTGCTTTTTGTAAGGTGCTCATAAATGTGTAATTACATCTAAAATCTGTCACATACGACAGGCCACCTGCGTACCTGCAATGTACCAGAATTGGTGACTCAGGAGGACTCTGCTTCATGTAGTCACGAACGAGGTACCGAAAGTTGATGAGCAGGTCAGTGGTGTCAGGAACACCGTGGTCTGGCCAGGAGGTGAAATGGAACTGTCGCAGGGGGTGACTTTCACTTGTCAGGACCTAAAATCCAAGAAAAAGGGGTTAGATTCAGAGAGAAAGGCTGCCTACAACATCAAAAGGCAAGGGATGCCACTGTAGGAAAACCATCAAGAACAATAACATCTGGTTTCCGAAAGGTAGAAAGATGTGGGACGTTTCCAACACAAAGAAATGATCAATGCTCCAGGTGATGGGTCAGCTAATTCCCCTGCCTGATCACTACATACAATATGTATGGGAACACCACGTACACCCCGTGAAGATGTACAATTACTACTTGTCAAGTGAAAAAATGAAATAAATTTTAAAAGATCCAAGAATAGAGAAAAAGAAGAAAAGGCAAGAAAAACCAAGCAGCCGGGTGACAGCTGTGGTTCAGTGAGTAGGGCGCCAGGCCCCATGTACTGAGGGTGGCAGGTTTGAACGGGGCCCTGGCCAAACTACAACCAAAAAAAAAGGAAAGAAAAAGAAAAACCAAGTGGCCAGGCACCAACAACCAATAGCTCAGGCCAGTAATCATTGCACTCTGGGAGCCCAAGAGGGGATGGATTACTTGAGCTCACAAGTCTGAGCAAGGATAAGACCGTCTCTACTAAAAAAAAAAAATAGAGAAAACTAGCCAGGTATGAGGTGGTGCCTATGGCTCAAAGGAGTAGGACGCCAGCCCCATATACAGGAGGTGGTGGGGTCAAAGCCGGCCCTGGACAAAATAAAAAACTAGCCAGGCATTGTGACAGGCACCTGTAGTCCCAGCTACTTGGGAGGCCTGAGGATTGCTTGAGTCCAAGAGTTTGAGGTTGCTGTGAGCTACACTAACACAGCTTTTACCAAGAGTCACAGAATGAGACTCTTTGTCAAGAAAAAAAAAAGAAAAGAAAGAAAAACCAAGCAGGGCCTAAATATGGGACTACACAGGACAGATGGCAGGCAGCTGGCTCAGCGTCTATGGCTCAAGCAGCTAAGGCGCCAGCCATATACACCTGAGCTGGCAGGTTCGAATCCAGCCCAGGCCTATCAAACAACGATGGCTGCAACCAAAAAATAGCCAGGCATGGCAGCCGCCTGTAGTCCCAGCTACTTTGGAGGCAGAGGCAGGAGAATCTCTTGAGCCCAGGAGTTGGAGGTTGCC